CCAATAGACTCGGTCAGATATGACTTGTCTGGAGTCAGTTGAAGTCAGTTGAAATCAATTGAAGTCATTTGGAGTCAAGTGGAGTCAGTTGGCGTGTTGAAGTCTGGAGTCCGCTGTTTCCCCCTTGAGTTTGGGTCCTAAAGAAACACGCGCAAAATAGAAAATACTGAGAGGCTGCACCCGTTACAATTTCTGGTAATGTGGTAGGTGGGGGTAGGCACCAGTTTTTAACTGGTGTTGAGGCATTCGGAAGAATTGCTATACATCAGTTATCAAAATCATTTCTAAGAAAACTTAGAACATTCGAAAATACATTAAACCACGGAAAAAACCTGTTCGAACAGGTTTTTTTTCTTGATTTTCTGCATTTTAGAATGTTCTAAATTTTCGTAGAAATGATTTTCGAAACTTTCTAACAAATGTATTTTGTAGAGCAAACATTTTTCTACAGAATGAAATGTTTCACGGCTCTGAGCGAATTGTGATAACTGATGTATAGCAATTCTTTCGGATGCCCCAACACCAGTTAAAAACTGGTGCATACCTAGGTGGGGGACATTAACAATATTCAAAATTTTTGCTAGAAAATAATTTCAAATCCAGGCTGGAGAAGCATAGACTAGTAGAGAAGTTCAAACGCCACCAGGATATATAATTATTTTTCTAAAATGTATCTGCATATTCATAATTAATTCAAACATGACTGAAACTACTTTTTTCAGAGGGACATATATAAAGAAAATTACCTTTGTGTAGTGAAAAATGGATGATTGAGGATTACAGTTCCAACTCATAATTAGGATATTTCGTCTCGCTGTTCTAATCATTCGAGCAGTTGGCTAAATGTGTATCCTTTACACTTCTCTGATGAGTTTTACCTGTGTATATAAGGCTCCTCCCGTCAGAAACCTACCTCTGAAAGTATAAGTTCGATCTTGACTAAACGTTTAGGAGATGCTGAGATGCTTGTGAAAGTATGGAACGAAATTTTTTGTTTGGCTCCATCTAGTATGGTTTGTGAGATGTCGCTACAACAGTGATCAAAAGGGACTATTCGTAACTGCAGGATTTCTTAGTAACGAAACGTTGTGGAGAGCTCCGACTGGTCTTAAGCTAACAAAAATACATGTGGCTAGAGACTAATAGAGCCGGAGTTTTTATATTCTACTTTTCAAACTAATGGTCAGCGTCAAAAGTCCAAAATTCCAAAAAGGCTCATTAACTTGCATAAAGATATTTTTCTAACCGCTAATCTAGACCAAATATCAAAACTTAGGCTCTATCAGCCTCTACCCACATGTGTCAGCTTCAATTTGAGACCTTCGCGAGCTCTCTGCGATGTTTAGTTACTCAGAAATTTTGGAGTTACGAAGTAGTGTTAAGGTGAGAGCCACTTTCGAGATATGGTGGCGTTAGTGTCTGATGCAAGTTTTAGAGCTTTCAGCAAAACTCTCATAACTCTTGATTAGAACATCATTCAGAGCTGGGAGATATCTCATTTTGATCAGATATATCTGTCATACAAGATAAAAGATAGCAGAATGAAATATTAAGTTAATTTTGTTCATCATTTCAGCTGAAAACATATCGTTTATATAAAATATTTAATACAATGCGTCATCAATACCATTTAGCTGATAAACATTTATTACTTATTCTATTTGGATTTATATTATTTGTCAGTATAATGTTACTCGGTTTAAATATTGGTGATCCATTTTTTATTGATAAGGATCAATATCATAAATCATCAGAAAATGATTATCTTTATTGTTCATCAAACCATCAAACAACTATTTATATACCTTTTACTCTCACTGTTCGTTTTTCACTATTATTATTAACTTCTGTGTGTGCTTTTAAAATTCGTCAAATACCCGATTCATTTAATGAAACAAAACAACTTAGTCTAACAGTATATAATCTATTATTTTTATCTATTTTATTACCTGTTTTAGATGGTATTCTAGGTCGGGGTACAACACAAGGAACTTTAGCACATGGTTTATGTTTATTTGTTATTTGTTTAATTACTATTATAATTATGTTTGCTCCAAAATTATTACTTCTTTACAATAATAGAAAGGAACAAAGTACAAGAAGAAAAAGTGTAGTAGACATATTTTCATCTACATTACAAAGACATAAAAATTTCTATTCAAAAGACTTGATTCGTCGAAGAACAGTAACTAATTAATGAATTAAAATCGGTCTGACGTGACACTCAAGCAATGTTATAATTTCTTAATAATATTATTTCTTTAAGTTTTTATATAGTTGATGTTGGATTTATGAAATTAAAAAGTTAGAATGAGCAAAAGACTTTTTAACACATTTACGTGGAAGGTATACCCTCCGATTTCGATCATCTTTTGCCGATAGATACTGTGTGATGTACTAGTCTTAACCTTCAAAGAATTTGGTTGTATAGCTCTCGTCCATATGTGCTGACTAGCTATAATCTTTTTAAACACCTATTCATATAGAGAAAAGTTCTCTTCAAAATGAGACGTTGCTGAGCTCTGTGCAATATCCCCATTGAAAGTCATAAGCATNCATAAGCATTTTTCTAAGAGCATCTAAACCTCTGCTTTTCTCCTTCTTTTTTCATTCTTCTACATCTATTTTTGTCTTGTACTATTGCGTAATTCCAAGATTTCTCCGCTATTTTAAGTGCTACAAACCGAATCTCAGATTGATCTTGAAATGTAGCCAATACTTTTTTCTAGGACATAACAGAACCCGATTTCCAATCTTCATTTTTGTCTCTGAGGAAAATAAAAGGTTCGGAAAAGTTAACGAGTTTTTCTTCGTTTCTCTGAAACTTTTTATTTTCCTCAGAGACAAAAATGAAGATTGGAAATCGGGTTCTGTTATGTCCTAGAAAAAAGTATTGGCTACATTTCAAGATCAACCTGAGATTGGGTTTGTAGCACTTAAAATAGAGGAGAAATCTTGGAATTACGCAATAGTACAAGACAAAAATAGATGTAGAAGAATGAAAAAAGAAGGAGAAAAGCAGAGGTTTAGATGCTCTTAGAAAAATGCTTATGACTTTCAATGGGGATATTGCACAGAGCTCAGCAACGTCTCATTTTGAAGAGAACTTTTCTCTATATGAATAGGTGTTTAAAAAGATTATAGCTAGTCAGCACACATGTGGACGGGCTTTGGAAAGTAAACAATGATGAATTGAATCTCCAGTGGCCAATCTTAAGAAATGCATAACTTTTGAAAGAAGAGCTAAACAACCAAATTCTTTAGAGGTTAAGACTAGTACATCATCTAGTATCTATCGGCAAAACATCAGCGAAATCGGAGGGTATCAGCTAGGGACTCCTTCGTTAGCCTAAATTCATTAACATTTTTTTTTCAAATATTTGATTTTCCGCGGTTCGGGCGTTCTACCGGATTTCCTACGAGTCCGAGAACTGGCGCGCGGTGACTGTTGATAGCCTTGAAAACTAATGAATTATAGGTAATCGACCGCTACGACTGTATTCTACGAGCAATATTTGTTTTCAGAAAAACATTTAAAAATCTAGCTAAAAGCGAGTTTTACGAAATTTTGGGTTTTCCGGCTACCATCACCTAATTTTAAAAAATTCATAATTCAGTCCATAAACATCAGAAAGAGTTCAAAACTTCAGAGTGTAGAGTATTTAGACTCTTCTATATCCTATTTATAAAAGATATAGAAAGAGATTTTACAAAGCTCTAAGGTTTTCCGAACGGTTTTTAGGAAAACCCGTTAACAAAACTGTTCTTTTCTATTTTTCGGTCTTATAATAACGTTTAGCGAACAAAAGCAACTATATGCTGAAGTTTTGAACTCGTTCTGATGCTTATTGATTGAATAGGAAATATTTTAATATTAGTTAAAAACCCAAATTGTTGTAAAACTCGCTCTTCACTAGATTTTTAAACCTTTCTTTAAAAACAAATATTGCCATGTGGCTCGGTATGATCGATTACCTATAATTCATCAGTTGTGGAACGTTCCAACCGCAGAAAATCAAGATTCTTTTTTGACTTCTATTTCGGAGAGAAGACCGGAGAGCTATCAGCCCGCGAAATCAAATTAATACAATCCTATTGAAAAACTTTTACACACAACCACGCTTTTCAAAGATCTCCTAGACAATCTATTTCAATAAACTCTTCTGAAAATTATTTTGCTTGCGAAAGTATGTGCCCAAGTCTCTTCTTTCGCATGGCAAAAATCGGAGGTAGTTAGCTCTTTTTGTTCCCGTGTTATTTAAAAAAATGATCTCTATTATTTTATTTTACAGACAGTAGCACAGAGTACCCAAGTAAAAAATCTTGACTGCAGATCTTGATAAAAACTTGAAAGATTTCGGAAGTTTCTGTTCAGTTCTTTCAAGATCTTATGCAGATTTATCGATATCTGTCAAGATTCTGAGATCATCTT